CCGCCGCCCAACGAACTCGGCCCAGAACCCCGAACCCAGACCCCAGGAACCCGGAACCAGAAACCCGGGAACCCGGCCGCCTACCGAAATCCGCCGACCCCTTGTGGGTCTCTAGGCGTGTGAGATAGTTCCCCCCCCCTAACCCCCCCCCTGGGACCCCAAACCGGAGATTTGACCCCCCCCCCCCGGGCCGCAGACGAGCGCACCACGGGGCTCTTTTGGGCCCAAAAGGGGATCAAGACGGGCCAAGAAGGCCCCAAGACTCCTCCAAGACGGCTCACGAGAGCTCCGAGGCGCCAAACGAGCGCTCCCAGACGCCCAAGATGCCCCCAAGACGAGCCTAGAGGCCTCCAAGACGGCCCAAGACGCCTCCAAGAGCAGTCCTCAGAAGGGCCGAAGCGCCGAAAATCGTCAATTCCTATGGGAAAACGTACATTTTGATCACATACTACTTCTCGGCCTTCACGGCGTTGAAGACGGTCCCAGAGCACCCCAAGACCGCCCCGAGAGGCCCCCAAGAGGCGCCCAAGTCGGCCCAGGAGGGCGCCAAGACGGCCCAAGAGGCCCCCAAGACAGCCCAAGAGGGCCCCAAGACGGCCCCAAGAGGTGCCCAAGAGGGGGAGCCCGAACCGACAATCCGAGCCTTCCGCCCCAAGGCGGCCCCAGAAGGCCCCAAGAGGCCCCAAGAGGCCCCCAAGACGCCCACAAGAGGCCCCAAGAGGCCCCCAAGAGGCTCCAAAACGGCCCCCAAGAGGCTTCGAAACTGCCTCCAAGAGTCCCGCGAAAAGCCCCCCAAGAGATCCCAACGATCACCGCACAAGTCTCATATCAACAACCCAGGCACGGTGGCGGGGTTGCGTTTGCGCACAAAAAAATGATTCGCGCTCTCGAGGCCAAGATTGCTCCAAAACGGCCCAGGATGGCTCCAAAACGGCCCAAGATGGCTCCAACACGGCCCAAGAACGTTCGAAGACGGCCCAAAATGGCCTCAAGATGGCCGACAAGGCTGTCACTATCGCCCACGAAGTCTCCAAGAAGACCCCCAGGACATCTGAAAGAGGCGCACATTACGCATTTCATTACATTTCCATTGCGTTGTTGAACATGTTTGCAATTGTTGCCTTTCCCGGCTTCCGTCGGCTCACGTAGCCCAAAGAGCCTCCAAGATCGCCCCACGGCACCCCAAGAGGGCCTCAAGACGGCCCCAGAGAATCCCAACACGGCCCAGGACGCCTCCCAATTCGGCCTAAGACGACCCCAAGACGGCAAAACCTGTCTCCAAATTGGTCCCAAGCTGGTGCAAGACGGCCCTAACCCAAAACCCATAACCCAGAGCCTTGTTTCTGTGTCCCCTTCCTCCTTCTCCTCCTCCTCCTCCTCCACCTCGGCCGCCAGGTGGGTTCAAAACTGCTTTCCAAAGGTCCCCGAGAGGCGTGCCGCGAGATCCCTATACACATACAACAAGTTTCTAACCAATAGCACATATCCCAGAGTTTCGTCTCTGTGTCCCCGTCCTCCCCCTCTTCTCCTCCTCCTCCACCTCCTCCTCGCCCACTCCTCCTCTTCCTCCCCCGCCTCCTCCTCTTCCTCCCCGATCCTTCTCCCCCCATCCTCCGCCTCACCCCCCATCCCTCTCTCCCCCTCCCCCCTGTCCTCCCCCGCACGCGCGCCCCCGATTGGGCATCATTTGCAGGTCTTGCATATCAGGGTGCCCTTTTTTGCATCGCGTGCGACGTTGGCAGGGTTCCCGGAGAACGCCGACGTCGGTAGTCTTCTCTTGCACGCGCCGCCGCACTGATACGCCTGGCAACTGCGGGCTGTGAACCCGAGGTTCCGGCAAGACCGCCAAGATGAGGGGTCGGCGGATGTGGCGTAAGCCTATAGAATCGGCCCGCAACGTTCGCCGACTCGTTCAACATCCGCCAAGACCTCTTCAGTACAAGCACTGATTGGGAAATCCGGGATCGCTGGCTGTTCCACCGTGGTGATTCGATTTCCGCCACGCTCCACAGGAGAGCCAGGACAACTCCCCTGGAGGGTGCGAATGTGTATTTGTGTGTGGCTCCCTTCGGGGATGGACAGACCTTCCTCCTTCCTTTAGTAAAACGTGGTTTAGTGAAAACGACCTCGGGCCCAAATCTGGCCTGGCGCAAGCCTGGAAAATAACGGCCGCGGCGCCCTCTGGAGAACCGAAAACGGACAATTCACTAATCGACGTGTCAGGCTAGGGGATTGGGTTTCAGCACGCCTCCCGAAGAGGAAGGAAGAGGGAGAACCACTCGACTCTTGAAGCAGGCAGGCGCTGAAAGTAGATTGGAATCTGGGAACCCAAAAATACCCAGGTTCCACGACCGATGGGTATTTGTGTGTGGCCCCCCTCCTGTCCCAGACGCCGGAGGCCCCGCTCCTGGGCCCGAGGCGCGGACAAAACGCCCTCTCTGCCGCCCGCCCCGCGGAGGAGGCAGGAGAGCCAGCGGCGGAGGGCCGACGCGCGAGGCTCCTGGAGGGCGTCGTCGAAGGGCACGCCCGGAGCGCCGCAGGCGTCCTGCGGCGGAAGGGCAAGACTTACCAGCCTGGAACATATTCGGGGATGGACAGAACCCCCTTTAGCAAAACGTGGTTTAGTGAAAACGACCTCGGGCCCAAATCTGGCGGGCGAAAGCCTGGAAACTGACGGCCACGGCGCCCTCTCGAGAACCGAAAACGGACAATTCACTAATCGACGTGTCACTATTGGGGGTTCTGTCCAGCCCCGACATATCCCTTTCCCTATGCTGGGCATGTCCTCATCACGATGCCAATCTTGGGGATTCCCTTATCTTTGGGGGCGCCTCCCCTGAGATTGCCATCGCCTTTTGGCGTGTCAATGTTAGGGATACGGATAATTTCGAGGCTGGTAAAATTTTGACGAAGCCAGGACGGGGATGAGATCGGGTCAGGGCACGACCGAGCAGCTCTGAGACCAGGAGGGTCTCTGGAGGACGTAATTATCGGGCGTCGCGGCCCTCTCAGTGCGTTCGGGCACGCTCTCTGAGAGCGTGCCCGAACGCTCTGGAACGGATGTATCCTCGCCCCAGCCTTAGGTCGAGCCTGTCCCCCTACAGGGGGATGTTGGGCGAAAAATGAAACATACCCAACAAAAACACCCCCAAATGCTCAAAAAGAGTCAACAAATCGTCCCCCCACTGTTTTTTGACTATTCTTGAATATCCCTCCTGTAGAGGGACAGGCCCGACTTAGCCCCAGCCCCGTCCGAAGAAAATCAGATCGAATCGAAATGTGCGGCCCTGAGAGGCCCCCAAGAAGCCCCCAAGAGGCTCCAAAAGGGCCCACCAGAGGCCCAAAAGAGGCGCCAAGAGACCCCAACACGGCCCCCAAAAAGGCTTCAAAAGTGCTGCCAGGAGGACCCGAGAGACCTACCAGGAGCCCCCCAAGGGGTCGCCCCCACCTCGTCCGAAGAAGATCAGATTTGAGCAGGGACCGACCGTCCCGGCACTCCTATAGTCCTACCACGAAATGTTCTTAGAACCCCAAACTGTTCGAATAACAACAACAATGGTCTCAGAACATAAACCCGATGTGCTAAAACAAAACAGTCTCACGAGAAATGTTCTAAGAACCTTTTGTGGAGACCACAACAGGTTCTCAGAACATTGCTTGGTAGGGCTAGAGGCGAGCCAAGACGCTTCGCCACTTCTTGATCATATCGCATCGACATGTGCATACGGGATCGGGCCGCAACAGAACGGGAGCCGAGAAATCTCGAACCGGGCCGGCCGAGCCAGGGGGTGCACGGCAAAGCCGCGCAGGCCTGGGGCCGCACCAGCTCTCGCCGGAGCATCGGGATCCCATCGGATTGGGCCGGCGAAAACCGACATTCGACGGTGGATAAACCTCCCTCAATAAACCACCCATTAGTGAAAACGGCCACAGCTCGAAACCGACGGACCGGGACCCGCAGAAATGACGGCCCCGACGCCCTCTCGCGAACGGACAACGGCCAATTCGCTAATCGACGTGTCAGGGTAGGAGGTTTATCAACCTCCGAGACATCGAGTCGGACCGATCAGGCCGAAACAGAAACTGAAGGGGGCGATCGCTTGTGTGGAAGAAAATGGCCGGTGGGCATCTCGGATCGGCGCTGGGCCCCCTCCGTGGCGCGCGGATCGCTCCCGGGGCCGCGCCGAAAGAGTCACCAAGGGGGTCCAGCACCAATCAATGAAATCCGAGCGGATCTCCGACAAAACATGTTTGGCTTCCTTTCTTTGATGCGTACCATCTTCCTCATCTCGCTCCGCCTCCTCCTGCTCCTGCTCCTGCTCCGGCTCCTCCTCCTCCTTATCCTCATTTCCTCCTAACTCTTCCCTCACCCTTCTCCAGCCTCCACCCTCCCTCCAGCCTGATCCCTCCTTCTCTTTTCTCATCATGCCTTGTTCCTTCTCCTCATCCCTCCTCTAACCTCTGTTTTCATTCCTTCCACTCCGTATCCTCTGCCTGGTTGCTAGAAGGAACGTCAAGGACAAACGGAAGGCGGGGGGGCTGAGGGCTGCGATGAGGAGGATGACGAAGAGGAGGAGGAAAGGAGAGGAGGAGGATTGGTAACGAGAGGAGGGAGGAGGAAGAGGAGGAGCCCAGGGAGGACGGGGGAGGAAGAAGAGGAGGACTGGAAGAGGAGGAGCAGCAAGAACATGAGGATAGCAAGGGGCGGGAGAACAGAGGCGAAAAACACCAGGAAACGAGTGAGTAGCAGGAGGAAAAGGAAGAGAAGGAGGATGTAATCATGTCCTCCTCTCCCTTCCTCCTTCTTCTCCTTCTCCTGCTTCTTCTCCTCCTCCTCCTCCTCCTCATCCTCCTCTTTCCCCTTCTTCTTCTTCTCCTCCTCCTCCTCCTCCTCCCTTCCTCCCTCCCTCCCTCCCTCCCTCCATCCATCCCTTGCTCCCTCCCTCCCGCCCGACCTCCTCCCCTCCCTCCTCATCCCTCCCCTCCTTCGCCCAGCCTCCTCCTCCACCATGCCCTCCGCCCTCCCTCCTCTCCTCCCTCCGCCCTCAGTCTTTCCACCACCACCCCCGTCCGGCCTGGGTCCTGGGCTGGGAAAGAGCGCGGGGGGTGGACGGGAAGAGGGAGGAACGAGGAGGGGAGGGGGAAACACTGGAGACGTTGCCTGGTCGCGGGCCCGTATGAGAGGACAGGAGGGAGGAGGGAACAGGAAGAGGGGCAGGCCATGCCTCTGAGTGGTTCCGGCAGCTCCATAGCCCGAGAACGCGCGTCAGCTTGGCGAAGCTGCTTTGGCCACGACCCCGAAGTGTACAGGCGGCACGTGCTCCCGTCTGGGGGGGAACAACAACCGAGACGGGCATGCCTCGGGGATGGACAGACCTCCCTTTAGTAAAACGTGGTTTAGTGAAAACGACCTCGGGCCCAAACCTGGCGGGCGCAAGCCTGGAAATTAAACGGCCGCGGCGCTCTCTCGAGAACCGAAAACGGACAACTCACTAATCGACGTGTCAGGGTAGGAGGTCTATCCACCTCCGAATGCCTTTGCTAGCTCACGCATCGACGGCATGGGGACACGGGCGGGAAAGGCGGGACGAGGGGCCTTTTCGAACCTGTTGCGCAGCACAGCTGAAGGGGCCCCAGGACACACAAATAAATGCACACAAATAAAAAGATTCCCCATATTCTCCTATATTTTTTGGTTTTTCGTCTTCCGCCCCCACTTCCCATATTTTTGCATATTTTCCTGGGAGTCGACGATTAATTGTGTCTGTGTGTTTCTTTCCCTCCTGAACAGCGTGCAGAGAAAAGAAAAGAGGTAGAAAAGAGAGGGTGAGGGCCGCAGCGGTGCGGCGAAGGAGCCGAACGCTCTCCGACCTGCTGGCAGCCCCTGCTGTAACCACGCTCCTTCTCGCTTAGAAAAAATCACTGCCTGGACTGTCCTGGGAGGCCCTGCGTAGCTCGGGAGCTTGCCTTTTGCAGTCCGGGCGAGACTTCCTCGCCCCTTCTCACTCGCCCCCCCCCCCCGCGGCGCATGGTCGCCGAAGGCCGCGGCAAGGGGCGCTCCTCGCGCAGGGGCGTGGACATCACATGGTCGGGCATGTGCGGGGGCAGGCCGGCCTGTACGGACGGGCGAAGACATCATATCCTGATCCGATTGGCCCTCTTCTTCCACCTCTTCCTGCTGCTCCTCCTCCGCCTCCTTCTCCTCCTCCTCCTCCTCCTCCTCCTCCTCATCCTCCTCCTCCTTCTCCTCCTCCTCCCCCCACCATCATCACAGCATCAATATAAGAAAGAGCGTGTTCTATCGCTGCTGGCGGAAAACGGGGGGGCTCACTACTACCGGTTCGAACCCCTCCCCCCCCCCCTCCAGAAAACCGGGGGAGGTCACTACCGGTTCGAACCCCTCCCCCCCCCCCAGTTCATCATGAAAAGGGGGGGGGTCACTACCGGTTCGAACCCCCCCCCCCTCTCTCGAAAACCGGGGGGTGTCACTACCGGGTCGAACCCCCCCCCTCGAAAACCGAGGAAGGCTGCGGACAGTGGTGGGGACGGTGGTGGTGGGGACAGTGGTCAGGGGACAGCGGGACAGTGGTGGGGACAGTGGGACCGTGGTGGGGACGGTAGTGGTGGGGACAGTTGTGAGGACAATGGTGGGAACAGTGGGGACAGTTGACAGTGATGGGGACGGTGGTGGTGGGGACAGCGGTGTGGGGACAGTGGGAATGAGGCGGAAACAGTGGGACAGTGGAGGGTACAGTGGTGGTGGGGACAGTGGTGAAGGCGGTGGCGAGGACGGCGGTGGGACAATGGGACAGAGGTACAGTGGGGACAGTGGTGGGGACAGTGGGGACAGTGGTGGGAACAGTGGGACAGCTCAGTGGGACAGCGGAGGAGTCAGTGGGACAGTGGGGACAGTGGGGATAGTCGGGCAGTGGTTGGGGCCGTGGAGAAAGTGGGGAGAGTGGAACCGTGGTGGGAACAGTGGTGGGGACAGTGGGGACAGTGCGACAGTGGTGGGGGCACTGGTGGAGACAGTAGGGACGGTGGTGGAACCAGTGGGGACAGTGGTGGTGAGGACAGTGGTGCTGGGAACAACAGTGGGGGATGTGGTGCGGACGGTGGTAGGGACCGAGAGTCGTTTGCTGGCGGTGAGTGGGGAGGAGTAGGGAGGGGTTCGAACCGGTAGTGACCCCCCCTTCTGGTTTTCGAGGGGGGAGGGGTTCGAACCGGTAGTGACCCCCCCCCGGTTTTCGAGGGGGGTGGGGGGTGGTTCGAACCGGTAGTGACCCCCCCCCTTTCCATGATGAACTGGGGGGGGGGGGGGAGGGGTTGGGGAGGGGGGGGGTTTTGCCGGGGGAGGAGAGGGGGGGGGGTCCAGCAGGGGGAAGGATTTTCGGAGGGGGGGGGGGACCCCCGGGTTCTAGAGGAAAAGGGCGGCAATTTTCCACAATAAAGCGGCGGTGGATCACGCTCTCTCCAATATAAACATCGTCCCCATGATGATCGCATACGTCCCCATACTATTAGTCATCATCGGGATCATCACCATCATCATCATCATCATCATCATCATCATCATCATCATCATCATCATCATCATCATCATCATCATCATCATCATCATCATCATCGGCATCATCATCATCATCATCACCACCAGCATCACCATCATCATCCTCATCATCATCAGCATCATCATCATAATCAGCATAATCATTATCGTCATTATCAGCATCAGCATCAGCATCATCGCCACCACCATCATCACTATGTATGTCGTCGTCATCTCGCTAATCCTCACCATGGTGACCACCTTTCGCAGGCGCAGCCATCATCATAATCTGGAGCCTAATCATCACCACAATCATCCGAATCATTATCATCATCAGCAGCAGCAGCGTTGTCATCATCACACTCTGCATCGGCATCTCCCATCCCCTGTTTCTCCTGCAACCCGTTCCTCCTCCTCGAACCGCTCCCTAACCCCCTGAGTCTTCGCGAGGAGATTCGAAGGAGCGTCTACGCTTTGAAAGGGCGAGAGAGAAATAGAGCGAGAGAAAAAGAGAGAGAGAGAGAGAGAGAAGGAGCGGGAGAAAACAACGAAAGAGAGAGAGAGAGAGACAGAGACACGGAACAGAGAGAGAGGATTCGAAAGAGAGAGAGAGAGGGAGAAACGAACAAACAAAACAACAACAACACAAAGAGAGAGAGAGAGAGAGAAAGAGCGAGAGAACTAAAGAAAAGAGAGAGAGAGAGAGAGAGCGAGAGCAACGATTCGGACACGTGGCTCGCCCGCGAGAGGAAGGTACAACCGCCTCGTGCACGAGCCTCATTGGCAGGAGGTGCCGCTTGTGCACCACGCGGCGGTCGAAAAGGGGGCCCCGACTGGACAGGTTGCGATCAGGGCGTGGCGCGCCCCGCCTGCGCCCCCGAAGCTGCGAAGGAGGCTCTGGGATTCGGCGCGCGCTGGCACGTGCGCCTCGGAGCCCTGCGACGTGAAGGCGCCGCCCTGGGCCCCCCCCCCCCCAGCGGCCGGGTGGCCGGACAACGGAGCTGGCTGCCAGGAGTTCTCGCAGGAGGGGCAACGTCATACGGGGGGGGGGAAGGGCATCGACCTGGAAGCGGCGATACATCGCCGATAGGTCGGCGATAAGCCTCCGACAGTGAATCCGAACCTTCCTGGGCAGGTTTTGGATTCCAGCGTGGGTCTGTTAGTGTAGAGAGGGTCATGAAACAAACGTTGCAACACATATTCTGCGTATCTGTGCATATGCGGTCTGGCAAATCGGGGCGGCATCATCGCGACGCCAACGGGCGTCGCGGACTCGAGCCTGCGGCCTGGAAGCACGAAACGCACGATTACCCTCATCATGAAGTTCTGCAACCAGTCACTGTGTTCTGGGGGTGCACGGACAAGCAAAACACTGCTCAGCGAATCGTTAGCTGGCGCCCGCCTCGACCTCATGCCCCACCCCCCGCCTCTTCCAAATATCCCTTCGCTGCGGCCCCACCCTCCTCATGCCCCTCCGATTGCCCCGGTCCTCATCATGCCCTTCATCCACACTGCTCCCCCCCATGTGCCAATTCACGTCGTTCCTCGTCGTCCTCCTGCGCCGGATTCGTTCCCCCATCGTCCCCACCCCACCTCCCTTGCCTTCGTGATGCTGACACCGATGATGCAAATCCTCCTGGGCTCATTTCCTCCGCTCTCGTCCAGTCCCGTTCATCCTTGGCCCCTCGGCCACCCCTCCTATCGAACCCCTTCCTTCCCACAGCCCACCCTCCCCACCCCCCCGCGCCTTTGCATGCCCAGACCACGGCCCCCTCCTGGACCAGCCGGGAGACCCGCGGAAACTCCCGCCCAGAGACCACTCCAGCGAACGGCCCGCAACAAATTCACAGTATTTCCACCGCGCACGACGCCCCCCTGGACCAGCCGGAAGAGAAACGCGAAAGTTTCCGCCCATTCAACACCACCCGCGAGGGACACACTCCAAATACACAGATGGGAACGAGATCTGCGTACACAGATCACACCACGATCTGTGTAAACAGCGGGCCCACACACGAAAATACAGTTGAAGACACAAACTGTGTACACAGATCACACGTTGATCTGTGTATTTCGAAAAGGTAAACGCTCGCCACCTCGAGGGCGCCCCGACTTTGCCTGTCCAGAACCGAAGTTGACATGCCCAGCTGGGGGGGGAATGCAAATACACACTTCCCCGGCCCAGGGCGCCCCCGAGAGAACCGCAAATACACGCGTCCCTGGCCCAGGGCGGCCGCGGTGTAACGCGGCGCCGAAGCGGCCCCCAACGGCCCGAAGACGCCCCAAAAGGCCTCGAAGGACACCAAATAATGCCGCGCAGCAATCCGAAAACACGAGAGATGTCACATGTTATGGACCTCTTACAAGTCAAAGCTCCACGCGCCGCCATATAGACCACTGCTCCGGCAGGGGGGCGGACCTTGCCGCAGGCACCTATAATTTACATGTTAGCGATGCGACTGTGCTCGGCGGCCGTGCCGCCCGCATTTTGGGTGCGCCCCGAACTCTCGCATTGGCAATCCCCTCTGTTTGGTTGCGCCGCTGTGCTCGGGTATCGAAAAAGCATTTACCGCTGACGCGGGCACGCGGCACCAGGGACTTCACTTTTCGAACAAGGAGGGTGGACGAGGTAGGACGACGGACGGTGGAGCAGGGAGGCAAAGAGGAACGAGGAATAATAAGGGAGGTGGGAAGGGGCGCTCCCCCGCCCGAGCCGCGGACGCTTTCGACACCATCAAGGGGAGGGAAGAAAGGAAGGGGAACGGAGCAAGGGCGAGGACGACGACGGGAAGCAAAGTGTCCCGGGTCCGCATATAGCCATATGTCTGCGATTCGGGTGCGCGCGCTTTCTTCGAGGCACTTCAAGCCGGACCCATGCTGAATTCACGAATTCCTCAAAACTGTGTAAACACTCTGTCCTCTGTTCCCTCTCCTATACAACGGCCTCATAACAGAGGGGCAGTGGATACCAAGGCAGGTTGGGGCTCTCGGGCCCCTATCGGCGATCAATGGGCGACTGGGGGTCGATGCATCCGCCCCTATGCCTATCCCCCCCTGTTTTTTTAGCAGGGACCGCCCGTCCCGGCATTCCTATAGTCCTACCACGGAAATGCTCCCAGAACCCAAGATTGCTCTAAGGACAAAGACGATGCTCTTAGAACATGAACCCGATGTGATAAAACAAGACAGTCCCAACCAGAAATGCTCTAAGATCAGCTCGTGGAATCCACAAAAGGTTCCTAGAGCATTGCTTGATGGGGCTACAGGCGAGCCGGGAGGCTTCGGATCGCAGGGCACGAGGTGCAAAGCGATCCAAGTGGGACTTCTTCGTCAGTCCAGGTGGGCCTCTTCCTCCAGCAGGTGGCCGGCGAGGGGCCCGCGGTTGCTCCAGCGCGCTTAGGCGGCTTTGTTGTTTGTTACGTGCGCAGTGGGGGCTCCCATTTTTTTTCGGTGCGCCGTGCGTCTGTAGCGCCCTGCGCCCCCCCGACGGGCAGGCGCCTGCCCCATCAGACCGACGGGAATCTGGAACGTGGTGGCGTCGATCGGGGGGCAGGAGGAGGAGGAG